CACAATCATATAAGATTTTAAATTTTGTAATAATATTATGTAATTGATGTTTTGATAAATATCAGTGTTATACGATCAAACATAATTTTAGTGATAACTTAGATAGGTACGTAGGTACCTAATACTATTTTTCTTATGGACCCCTCATATAATATTAGGTGCAAACAGATAATTAGTCCCAAGTTTCATAATTTTCATTAATAACCCAACATAAATAATTAAATGACTCGTGTCGTTAAATTTTAGATATTTATCTGTAACTATTCCAGGAAATCCTCACGAAAGGCTAAAAAGGCAATGGTGTCATGACCGGTTTATATAATAATATATATATATATATAAATGTATCACATCAGCTAGGTATGATCCTATTACTTATAAGTTATAACTATTATGTATTTATTGTTGTAGGCACTATTATTATTGTTTCTAGCATTAAAACCTTAAAATTATATTCAAGCTGAAGTACCTCCAATGTGATGCCTCTTCCCTCTGCCCCTTCTATCTATTTTGTTATCTTTTATCACTTAAGCTTATTTTTCAATAACTGTAACAGATGTCGTAATATAGAGTTTTGTTTAAAAAAAATCTTATATATAACCAAGCCACTTTGATTATATAGCCTGTAACAGATACACAATTTGAGTGTAACATGTAATATTATGATTACAACTAATAAAATAACTTGTCCATCCAACGTCCACATTCTTGTGTAAGATATATTGCAGTATAATAACGCACATATTATATTATATTATTGTGTGTGTACACAGTCAACAGAATCGCAAATACTAATCCAATGAAATCCCTTGGGTATACATTACGAATAAGAAATCCTAAGCACGTACGTTCATTATTATTTTACATAAATAATAATAGTGCGTAATATGCATGTGAATAATGGGCGGTGGTATTTCGTTGCAATGTATAATGAATAATGATACACAAGATAAAATACAACCAATTTGATATCAGTAGGCTCAAAAATCGTAGCCATAACATAAGTTTATGTGGCTAATGCTGTAAGTATCTGCAGTATAATATAGCATACAACTAATTTGAAGTTATCTTAAGGGTCTTAGTGCATATTACCACCATAATACAATAAAAGCTTTCACGTGCCAAAATGGACTATTTTCCATTACTAAACAAAAATCACACATGCACGACAAAAAATGTCAGTTTCCCTAAGTCGGGGGCTGGCAAGACGTCTCTCCAGCCCCCCTCCCCCAAGGGTCTTCGATATATCTTAGTTCCTTCGGCCATACAAATTCTGTACCACTGCTTACAAACTCGTACAAATATCATACTAAAGAATCGTATCAAAAACCTGCAACATTTTGAAAATGAGGGGGGTGGCTGGTGTGACGTGCGTCATAATATATTATTATTAAGATACGCTCACACACTTCCACCCTGAAAATGAGTTCAGAAATGAAAAATTTGGTATATTAATATTTACATTTTTGGCTGGCTGTTACTATCGTTACATTGACTGTAGGTACATGTCGATTGCACGTTCTACCGATTTCTCGAGTAAACCACATGACTACGTGAAACAATAACAGCTACATTGTTGTATAGTTATGTCGTTTTCATAATAATAATATCATATTATAATTTTATTATTATATACGTATAGGTATCTCATAATATGCCATGGATTTTCACCTGCGAGAAAATTATTCTTACGAGATGATTGTTTTTTTTTCTTTACCGCAGAAAAGTTATATCATCATACCAAACTACTCAAGTGTTTTAAAACTAAAATGTCCCATCAACAATATTTCATGAAACAAGTGTTGAGAAAAAAATAGATTACATGACACTGAATTTAATTGAATTATAACAAAAATAGTAAATATATATACGCATATATATTATAATTAAAAACGATTATCGTAATGTTCTATTGCCTAAGGAACATTATTCATTAATCATTAAATATGATCAAGTAAAAAAAAACAACTTTACAACCAAAACTATCAATCTTACATCTAAACTAAAAAACATAATATCCAATAAATACTCAATGAAGGAAATTTTGTAAAATATTGAAGATGAATGAAATAAAAGTTCGATTATAATTTATATTAAAACTAATAATAATGGAATTGATGACCATGAAACAAAAAATCGTGACTGACTGACACACTGACATAACTATATTTCATATAAAACAGACACCATTCAGGTGTTTTATAATATTATAATAATAGATGTAACTGACTATCAAAATAATTGTTTAATATTTCAATTATAACAATAATGATTATAAATATTAAATATCATGTATGTGGTTTTTACGAATCTAATCATGCTAAATACAGAAAGTTAGTACCCACTAATTTAGAATTGTTATATTTATTGTAAAGGGTATCGACTTTTTAAAAATTTAATTCAACTATGTTATATATAGTTGTTGCTTATTATTTTCAACAATTTAGTAAGTATAAACAATTAACATTTAACACTTAGATCCGGGGAGTAGCTCTGCAGTTTAGTAGTGCTCGAGTATAAAATTAGTTGTTGAGTATTTCACTGTATAATAGTGTAATATATGTGCTAAATAAATATTTGAATTCAACAATAAACCATTGATTAACGATTCTGAGCGTAAAAATTATTACAGCTTTTATATTAGGATAATAATTAAAGATAGGATTTAAGACATTTTATCCATTACAGTGACCTACTCAACAACGAAATAGGTATACTCGAAACTTGCTATATAGTATAGTGACCTCCCTGCAGAGTAAAATCATGAAAATAAATGTTAATAATAATATCATATGAGTTATGACTGTCATAAGATGAAAATACAATTTGAAGTTAAATGTTATTACATCCATGTCAAAACGAAGGTTTCCATGATTTTTTCAACCGTTAAAATAATAATAGAGAAATTATTAAAAAAATATAAATATAATGATAATATTTTTAAATTATACATTTGGTCTAATGAAATTAGCACGAAGAATTATTTTAGGCTATCCCAAAAACTTTTTATGACAACGTGATATTTTTTTAATCATGTAAAAAGCTTTTTTGTTTACTATATAGATTGCAATAGAGAGAAGAGAGAGGAGAGAGAGAGAGAAATATAATATAAATATAATATAAAATATAATGTAGTTAATTAAACGATCATTTTTCAATATTATATTCATAACATTAACTGCAGACTCCAATCACTATATTTTTTTTAAGCATTTTAATCAATCAATAAATTCATCATGATATTATGATAAACATTCATATTTTCTCTTTCAACTTAAGCTTCAATATTATAATCTATATAATTAAGAATAAAACTAAGCATATAAATGGGAATTTTTATTTCATAGTTATTTCCATAAACTTAGTTATTTATGTCCACAAATCACCTTATATTAATATAAATAATCAATTTTTTATTTAACAAATTTTTCTAATTTTAAGTATAATGCACTATATCTCTACATTGTTCAACAATAAACACGAACAATGCATGTTATGTTGTACATTTTTTCAAAACTAATATATTACATGTTATTGTAATAATGGTTTGTTGGATATCGCGTTTTGAAATTTTGAAAAATATCTTAACTTGCACTTCCCTCTAGAACTTATATTATTTATGTTAATGAAGATTTAGTAAAATGCCATGTTATAGTTCGATAATTTTTAGAATTCTATAAAATCAGCAATTTTGATTGTAGACAAAAAAAAAAACAGAATAATATATGCAAATAATAATTTAACTTCAGTTTAACGCTTTAACGGAACTTTGGGTTCTTCACTTGATCTATTTTAAGATTATAAAAGCTTTACCCCTCTCTTAATGATAGTTTGAAAATCATAAGAAATTTAATTTCCATATTTTAACAAAATTAAATACTTATTTTACTATAAATTACTGTTTTCAGCTTATAAATCATAGATTAAAGTTTTAAAATTTAGTTATTGGACCATTTTTATTCATAAACGAAGCGATTTTGGCATCAATATTATTCTAATCACAGTGCATTTGTACTTATCTCAATATTATACAATTGTTTCCGTAACCCCTGTTCGGTTTATATTACACATTCCTAAGCTACTTCGATTCAACCCTGCAATACCAGGATTTAGTTGGTGGTTATTAAGTGGTAAAATATTGTATATTATAATAGGATCGCATTGTGCTATATGTGATAATKTTATTAAAGTAAGCACATTACAAACTATTGCTTCAAATAGATTTCTTATTTTATTTTTTAACAATCCTATTTACACTATTGTTATGCGAATTGCAATAATATTCTGTATAGACGCTTTTACGTTTATACCCTCAACCGTACAACGCGCGCACTCAACTAATAAATAGGAATTGAAATCATAGAAAAGATAAGATCGCATTGGATCAGCGAATATTTCGTGAAAATTTATAGCTTTTGACGTGCATTGTCGTAACACACAATATACCGTGCGTAGTTTGTATCGTTTAGCTGTTTATGCATTTATAATGATCGATCAAATCGCATTGGTGGTCTGTGATCATTTTAAAGTAAATCAATACAGTTTGTAGAATAACAAATTAACGTCGTTCATAAGTCGAGTGAAAATACTTCGCCTGCAGCTTTCTAACAATCGTATTAAATTTTCCCCTATTCGAATTAAACGACGAGTCTACTATGATGATACGTTGAATAGGATATTACTCGYATTATATTCAAGACAAACACTGACAAGAAGGAAATTCAAAAACTATAACAGACAAAAATATCCTTAGAACTGTCTAACCAGTATAGAATGGCAACCTATATAATTCCAGAAAACAGGAAGATAAACCTATACAAGTGGTTGTATATTTAGGAGTTATAATATAATGATATATGTATTCCTTAATATTAACTATTTATTATGAAATCGTGGAGCAAGTCCTTTTTTATTTACATTTATTGTAGTCTCCTAAAAAATATAATACCTACCTATAATTCAAATAATAATAATAAAAGTAACAATACATTTGTGTTCACAGTGCGAGGACATCAAAGACACAGTGCCTGTGCGTGATCGCGTTGATCTGGATCGCTGGTCTGGCACTTAGTTCGCCCATGGCGTATGCACAACGGGTGGTTTTTGTGTCTGAAGACTGGCCATTTTGCCTTAACGTCAACTTATCAAACAACGTGATGCTCGTTTATAGGGCGCTACTGGTGGTTGTGCAGTACGTCATACCACTGTCGATCATGACGTGGGCCTATTCCGGGATAGGATTCGCCCTGTGGGGTTCATCGGCTCCTGGAAACGCACAGTCACAGAGAGACTTGAATCTGATGAGAAATAAAAAGCGGGTAAGTCATTATAATATCTTGAATAACATTGTTGTGATTTTTATTATTGCTAATGTAATAACTCATCGAGTAGAGTGTAAAGTAGACTGTAGACTAATTACTACGGTTAAATAATAATTAAGCTAAATAAGTACATAATATATCGTATGATGTACATTGTACATACAATATTATATTATGTACTATATATGACGTCATAAATCATTGTATTACCATGGAGCAGATCGATAAACATATCTAAATGATTTTTCGTTATCAATTAATGTATAATTTTATAGCTATTACGTTATCAAAAATTTGATACAATTTTATCATTACACTAAAATATGTAAATATAACTAAAGTTAAATTGTAAGACATGTGCGACTAAAGCTGTAAGTATTGGTGAATTCGGATTTTCAACATACAAACCAGGATTAATTATTAAGGCCATCCAGTGTTTATCCTTTTATTCTTTTTACAACCTACTATACATGATCCAAAATTAAAATTTGACATACAGCTATAATTCTTTCTTTAACTCTTTACTCTTTATTATTATTATTACTATCCTATTTTAAATCCATGAAAATCAAATCTGATGATTGATAAATGCTGAAATTAACTTTCTGAGTACTTGGTGTATAATATCTATACAATAAATAAGTCGCTAAACTGCATTGATGCAACTAGGATAATTTTTAAAAAGTTAGTTACCATTAGGTTACAAAAAAAACTTGCATTTTTTGTGTATTTCCTATACAACTCTATGTTATTGCAACATATTTTTTACACTTTTTTCCCCCAATTTAATAAGCGAATGATCTTGCAAGTCTATATTGGCCATGAAAAAAAATGTATTTTTACTCTGACCATCCACAGGTTGTTTTTCATATCGAAACAAATAATGATGATAAACTGTTATATTATAATCTTTTCAAATATCTGATATAAATCCATCTTGGCAACACCCAACATCACAACTCACAGGCTAAAAACTATTTAACATTTTTTTTTTCTATCAACACTTTTTTGAGAGACTCGGTTCGATTTTCCCGTGTATTCCTATACTTAAATACATATTATGTATTTTTTTTCTAAATAGTATTATTCTGTATAATATTGTTCACGTATTATTAACGTTTGCATTGTAGAAATATCAGTTTAGAGTTTATAAGACTAATCGGGGTTTCAAATAGATTTTCTTTTTTTATATAGTTATATAGGTTTTATTATTTTTTCAGATGTTTATAATACTATATACTTCTCGGCCCAATTCTTTTCTCCTTTAACTGCTGGTGCCTTGGTTACGTTCACAATTCATTGTGTTTTGTATTTTCCTTTACGTTTACATTGGTCTGAAGCCTGTGACCAGAAATGTCATTCACATGGCTAACTCTAATCTCGTAAACATTCTTATCCGGAGTCTTTTCCACACGAAAAATGCGTATAGTAAACCTACACACTCATACGTGACACGCACGCAATCAATCATAATAATCATAAAGCCTATATAGGTATTATATGTATTAAATTATAATGTATAATATGTAAAATAAAATTATTATTGTTAATAATCAAATCATGTTTGAATACAATGTCATTAAACTTGACACGATTGTTTTCAAGGTCATAAAAATGCTTATCATCGTCGTTGCACTATTCACATTGTGCTGGTTGCCTCTGCAAACGTACAATATATTGCAACACATATTTCCTCAAATAAACGAGTGAGTTTTGTGTTATAATTATAATTATATGAGGTCTAATTAATGACTAAAATCATTTATTCCCCAGTATTTTTAGCCTTTTGATAAATAATACTATACTTTATTGTCAATCTCAATTTCATTTCAGGTATCCTTATATCAACATAATTTGGTTCTGTTTCGATTGGTTTGCCATGAGCAATAGCTGTTACAATCCATTTATTTATTCCATATACAACGTGAGTACAGAACATCCATGTTTTATACAGATGCACTTATTTTTATATATAATAATATTTTATTCGTAAAACATAAACAAAAGTACACAAGTAAATTATGATATGTAGTGAGCTGTGACTATAACACTATAAATATATTATATATTATGTTCCCATGATATTATATTAACGCGCGATCGCGTAATAAAAATTATAATGATAATTGTAATAGCGCGCAACCGCGTAATATTAAATATATCACTACTTATATGAGTATTGATTAAAGTAGGTCACACAGAAATTACGTGTTTCCCTGTAATTTAATATGGACAGAAAAATTACAAAATTATACGAATAGGCAGCTAGTAGAATAATGTCGTAAAAAAGTTCGTAGGTATTATTTATCGACAATGAATATTGCATACATTCGGCATAAGCAGCGCATGCCACGTGAAGCCGATTTACGTATAGGTAGTATGTAGCGGTAACTAGAACTCTCTGCATACAAGAAGCTCGTTTTTATTTTTAACGAAATTATTCGTAGATGAACGATAACACGACAAGTGACTGGACGAACATTTAGACGAGTAGACTCATCAGAAAGAATTTTTCTCAAAGTCATAATTCGCTCATCGGCCCTTAAAATATTAAATTTTTTGGACTAATTCGATTGCCTATACCTTTGCGTTTTTATGGAATTTAATAAATAATACAAAAAACTACAAATTTACAATCTTTATTTGTTCATTTATCTTCAATCCTTGCTGCTCTGGTTATGGAATCATTACAGGTATACAATTTAAAGTTTTTGTATATATTTTACCTACTTTTACGATATTATTTTATTAAATGACTCTTTTCAAAATGGATTTCATGGGAACTGTATATGATATTAATTGGATTATGTATAATATTATGCAGTTTACTGCAGTTAATATGCGTAATTACATAACAGTAGTAATCAAGTAATGTTTTATAATAATTACTGCGGGTACAGCCAATTTCAAAACAAATTTAAGATAATTAAAATTGAATTATATATTTTATAATGATCTTAATTTTTTTCATTAAATTGAAATCTACAAGTACCCCAATAACAATACCATGGTTAATTATTTTTTAAATTATTTAATTATTAAATTATTTTTAAAAATATACTTTTGTACAAAGCCGGACATTTATGTTTATCTCGCAACTAATATATTTAATCAGCGTATTTTATGTTTATTTTAATAAAACTCCTTCAATATAATAATGATAATGTATTGGCCAAATAAATAAGACATAATTATATCCTAAAATGCACTTATTGCATTGCAAGCAAGTTTATATTTTATACGAAATAATGTATTATGTAATATCGATGTTTCACCAATGTCAACGGGTCTGGTAAACAGTGATTGAAAAAACAATTCAGCTATATCGATAACAATATTTAGCTCTACGTTGACGATAATTATTATTCACAGGAGAAATTCAAACAAGAGTTCAAAATGCGGTTAGACTTCATGGCAGGAAAGAGACGGCTGACCAGAGATCTGAGTGCCTTTTCCAGTGGCCGTTTCGAGTGGCGCACCAATCACGTGAACACTCACGAACGAAACTTAAAGCACAGTTCGATCGTCACCAACGACACGCCACTGATACTCACACCCGACGCGTGATTGACCGACCGAAGGACCGTGGCTTTGTGAGACGCTATCAATTTAATATTTACTCCAGTGTAATTGTTATTTTTGCGGTGTCGATGTAAAATAAGTTTTTTGATTGTTCCCCACGCACAATGATATAATGAAATATAATATGTCTTGGCTGGAAGTACCGAGACCATATCGTTCACGTTTTAGAAAACAGATCCCCCGTGACGTTATTTTTCATCAATTTGTTTTCTTACTCCTACTATCATACATTTATTTCTACTTTAAATTAAATTGTTTAACTATTGTTTATATACCATACATGATTAAAATATGTAATATAAGACTCATAAATTATAAAAAATTTTGTTTTATGACGTCGATACTAAATCGATTTCAATTGGATTTTCAACTGAATATTGTACATTACATGTATTTACATATATTGTATATTATATTAATATATACGTATGATGATAATTGTACAAATTCCAATTATTATTATTTTAACTAATTTAATCGCCTTCTAATATTTCATAGAATATTCTAATTTACACAAAATAGTGTACTGTCAAATATATTCCAAATCGAAAACGGCAATAGATTTTCTGTAATAACTAACGATGCAAACCTATATAGAATTAATTTACTATACCAACCTCAATACGTTATTTCTTAATTCTCAATTTGGATTTAGAAAATTATGTTCCTGAGTTTTTTGGTGTTGTAACGCCTGTACAATTTTGTATTGAAACTGTAAACCAACTTAATAAATACATACATAAAATATTATTAATGATAATCACGTGTTATACATTTTTACTATGTATTTTTTGATTATTTATTAGAAAACAATACACCCAGTACCTACCTATACCTAATCAATACATAGCAATACCAATATCAGAAACTATAAATTGTTTTGTATAATAGCATTCAGGTCATGCAAATTGTGTTTACAATATAAATATTGCTGCAAACGAAAAATAAATTATTTAAGAAAAATCAAAAGTTGACTATCCTCTGATGAAACGGTAAGTGGTGAAGATTACATTTTTTGATATCAAATTAAAGTGAATAAGTATAAAACTCAACTTCGATGCAATAACTCTTAGTAAGTATTGTCCTTGATTATTCATAATTTCAATAGTACCTATAATAAATTATTTTTAAGTATCAAGCCTTCAAACCTGAAAGTTTAACTTTTTGTGTGACCCAACGAATTAAAATTAATTGTAATAATAATATTATAAATGTTTAGAAACGTAAATCTAAATAGTAAATTATTAATAATATATTTTTTCCAAAATTATATTTTATATTTCTGTGAATAGTAAAATGTTTATTATAAAGTAAACTATTCGTAACTACCAAATACCTCAAATATTATATTTTTAATAGCTATAGGTATGTGATAGTTAAATTAAAAATTACTAATTTAAGTCAGTTAAATTGTCTCAATAAATGGCCAGAGACTGTTAGTAGAAGTCTCGTTTAAATCAGTTTCATATAGGTTATAACCTACGTATTTGAAGCAAATGCTAACAACAACAATAATGTTATTATATTATTACATAATATTTTAGTCATTTAAAACTGAATAGTTTGCTACGGGTATTTTGAATTTACAAAATATATTTTGTTATATTATTATTAATATAGTAATAGGATAACATTTCTGAACACATAATTGAATTCATCGAGGATTTTATTTAAGGCAAAAGATTGATCGTAAAGCGTATTGTTGACACGTGCGTGTACGTACAAATGAAATATAAAATATGTTCTATATTTCTTTAACAATTACAGTCGCAAATATTAATGATTATTAACTGATTTACTACGCACAAGTATTTTACACGACACGCATGTACTTGGGAAATTACCTAAATTTAACACAATTTTTTAATTTCTATGAATGACCAATTTATAGGTACCAAATGCTGGTGCTTAATATAGGTAATATTTAATATACTTGTACAATATTACTTAATAATATATTGGCTAAAATTGATCTCACAAATCTAAAAATGTTTTAACTTTTAAACAGCTGTCAATTCTGAATTCTTTCTTCAAAACTATCATAAAAAAATAATAAAATAAACATTTTCAAGGGTACGTTAATTTCATTTTTATATTAAATAAGATATTTGATGGAAAAGGTAGTAGAGTATTAGGCAACTATACCAAAGTAATTTAATATTAACTATTTTATATAATAAAATGATAACAATAAATTGATTATAAATAAGTAATATTATACTAATAGGTAGTAATAATCACAATTTAAAATATACAAATCAATGCACTTGTATAAAACTGAAACATACAAAAAACAAAACAAAATTGATTGTCTAAATGACTCAGTTTGGTAGACACCAATGTTCAATACAAATTAATGTAGAAATAATACATTTATAAATTAATAATCACAGATAGTAGGCATGACAAAAACTATCGATCTATCGATTAATTTTGCATGTATTAATACAATCAAAATATATTAATTTCTGGTTTGGCTTAGCGATAGGTAGGTATGTAAATAAATACAAATAATAAGAATAGTAAAGTTAAAATATTAATAAATATATGTAAACTTAATAAATAATTCTGATTACTGATAATGGTGGCACGTTTACCGTTGTTTTAAAAAAAAAAAAAATTATATTATACACAAACATATAATAACTAGGTATTATGATTGTTTATACAAAGATGCTGGAGGTGTTAAATTAAAATTAATATACTTATTAAAGATATATAATAATACATCAAATAGTTTTAAAATACGAAAATGTCTTTTTTTTGTCATTTGTAAATAAAATTATAAAATTTTTTGCAAATTGCTTATAATTAAGTTAATACTTAAGTAAATTATTATAAAATAATTATGTTATTTTAGATTTTGAGTGAAATTGATTTGTATTTATAATTTAAAAAACTCTATTTTCCGATGTTTTGATAATCGCCTGTATAACGAATAACAATATCTGAGTATTTTGAAATAGATTTGTCTGGCATAATTAGAAAGATTCATTAAAAATCGGAGGCCAATATGGCCTTAATAAAAATTTTCTTTTTAAAATAAGTAAAAAAAAAAACCAACCAAAAACCAACTATTTCAAGAGACATAATAGTAGGTAGTGATAATTGTATGATCATTTCGTAACATAACTGGAAATATTTTTTTAAAGTTTTTCCCTAGTATATTAGCCAGATATATTAGTACAATAAGCTAAAAAATTTCAGGTTACGTTCTTTTATATAGCTTTGATCTTGATCAGTATTCATAATCGAATTTGAATACGAAGATTTATTATTATTTCTAAACTAAATTGTACAATATCAATGTAACACGTTTGACCTAGTGAATCTCTCAATTTATATAACTTATAACTTTCTATAACTATAATCAGATTATCAGAAAGTATTTTTTCTGCTTATTTATATGTATACATGGGTAAATAAATAAAACATTTTTAATTTTCACGAACCTACAGAACAATTTTGATAAATGAACTTATTTAAACTGAAATATTTTTTTTTTTTTTGTCTTCTTATTATTATATTATGTGCTTTACTATATATAATATATAAGCATAAAACCTTTCTCTTAGAAACAAATTGAAATAAATTAAGAAAGACGAGTGTTTTATAATAAGCTTTTAGTTTTAATCCTCTTATTAACAACATATTGCAACATAAAAGAAAGAAATCCGATCACTTTTTGAATTGTGTATGGACTTGAGTCGGTATTAATACGAAAAAATGATATAAAACGTGAAAAGTAGGTATAAAGTTGTATAGAATAATAATTATTTTCATAATTTTATTTTGTTTTACTTCTATAACTTTTTAAGTCATACTAAAACGTAAACAAACGAAAACGGTTATTTATCAAAAAAATTCACAAATTTCGAAGCAAGTAAGTTATGTAATCATAATAATAATATTTACATTTTTAGATCATACATAAAATTAAAGTATATACAAATATATTTTGATTATATAGTTATTGGATCACAGCACTTTTACATGGCAACTCATATCATTGAGTTCACGTTTAATTGATACTTATCATTTTATCACGTTTTTACCGTAACTTTTTCCATCTATAATCACAAGAACAAATAAAATTATAAGGTGCATACTAAATTTTACAAATATTTTCTTTGCATAAAACTTACTTTTTAAAAGAACAACATAGAAGGCATATTGACAAAATCGATACGAATCCAATGAAAATTGCAATACCTAGCACCGACATCTGTACCCATGTAACAGCTGATTTGACTTGTTTCGGGGAACATCGCTAAACATAATTACAATTGTGTAAAATATTTTAGTTTCTGTAGAAAAAAAAATGATATTCCTTACTTCGATGTTTTTAACATCGTATTGCTTGTACACGTTTTTTAACTCATGATTGCTAGGGTCTTCGAGTAACGATATCGTATCTTTTGGATTATAATTGTTTGGTCCCACTAGCTGAAAACACGAACCTGTGCTACTAAAATCTAGACTTCCGTCATTTTTTGAATAAAACTGAGTGTCATATAAGTTTAAACTAGCTTGAGGTATCCCTAATGATTTTTCGACGTCTTCTTTGAATTTTTTTATGTAATGACCTACAATATTTGGTGGTCTTGTGAAAACAAACTTCAACAAACCACGATCTTTTACAATAAACACCTATCAAAATAAAATTATGTTAATATTAATATATGTTTGACTACTGGGCCAATCATTCTTTAAAATGAGTCATGACTTACCTTGATTGTAGTGTTGGAATGTCGACCAGGCACGTCGCTATTGATCGCTGCCACAACTATGTTAAAGTAACCTTCTGCATAGGATGCCATCGAAGATGTTGTTCTGATCTGACCACTTAATTGATCTAAAAAGAATGGCCAGCTTTTGATCTCTTTTGGGCTTTCAAGCCTATTAGCATAAGTGAGATTTGTGATGTGATACGTGATTTGTTCTGCCGAATTGTCAACATCGGTGGCTTGTATTGTAGCCACAAGAGTATCAAGAGGAACGCTTACCCTAACGCCTAAGAATGGACATGGCTTAAATGAAATCAACATTTAAAAAACTATCAACTAATCACTCACCTAAAGTTAAGTTTTCATCGATAAATTTCGGTAAATTGTCATCGATATCAAGTATTTTGATAACCACCAGTCTCTCACTAGGATCTTGTTTGTTGTACGATTTATGCAAGCTGTATGTTTTTGTTTTATGTTTAAAACATTTTATTGCCAAAACATATTCAGATACAGATTCTCTATCAATTTCTCCATTA